AATGTCAGGAATGCATCGAACCTCGTCTGTATGTAGTCCTGTCAAATGGGCGAGCCAGCTAAGCGGCCACGACTCAAAACAATGCAACACAAACAAGCTTCTCGCCCAGTATCCTTCCACTGCATCAGCTGCGAGTCCGTGTCTGCATTCAGCAGCTTCTCATCCACAACTGTGCTCAAGCTGAAGTCCTCCGCGGCCTTGACGCCGGCTGCTGTCTGTCCCTGCTCCTGCTGCTCCTCGGTTTTATCCTGAGGACGCTTGAATTCCTTGTCGTCCGAGGTCTTCAGGTCCTCCATGCACTTTGCCAGGTGCTCGCAGTTCACCAGGATGTCCTTGAAGACAGTGGTCCCCTTCAACGCGGTCTTGTAGTGGGAATCGTTGCCAATGCCGTACACTTCGGTCTGAGGGACATCCATCAATGTACCGACACCTACTCCAAACTCTCTGCCCTCTTTATTCCCTCCATGCCTTCATCAGGCTTACAAACAAACGACCAGTGTCCGACAGCATTGCCATCCAGCCAAGGTTGGTTTGCGAGTCCCGGAAATGTTCGTGACTCTGCATTCTCTTGCGGAGCTCCTCCTTCTCGCGGCCACCGCTGAGGCTCAAGCCGTCGAGCACATTGCTCAGCATGTGAGTCTTTAAGTCGTGCTTGAAGTTGAGAAGCACCAGCAATCCCTTGCCTTTGGGCGGGTCCTCAGTTGTGGGGCAGCCGCGAAGTTAAGCAGGAGGGGGAACAACGCACTACGGAGGTCGCTCCCATTCGCGAATCCAAGGTTCGAAGACGTGTGCATTCATAGTGCTGGGGTGGATGCCAAGTCGGCTGAGCATGTCAGCGACGGCTTGGAGAGCCCACGAAATCGGTTTAGCCAGGGTGGCGACCTTTTCCAGGGCAAGCGTCAGGTTGAAAGGCGACGCTTTGCCGAACCGCTCTTCCAAATCCAGGACCACTGCACGGTGTCCAGGATCGCAGAGTATGCGATTGTAGATCTTCACCGCCCTTTGCACGAATTCCACGTCCACCTTTTCCACCATAGCACTCTCTTTGTCTGGCACCCGAGCCGCCCAAGCGGCCTGGATGTCAGGCGCACTCATCTTGGAGTTGCCTGTCTGCTGCTGTAGTCGCTCCTTGAAAATCTGGATCTCCATCACCCGCTGGCAGCCTGAGCGGAAGACCGCCTCAAAGTCATCCACCACCTGGTTCCGCAGGTTAACCTGAAGAGCAAATTCCACTGAAACACAGAAGCATGCGTCTGAACATCTGAAAATTGTCTTGGCAGGCAGGCCGCGGCTCGCAGGAAGCAGTCCATTGGCGTATCGATCTTCTCGAAGATCATGGTCACACTCAGCATAACCTTGCGCCAGTGCCTGGACTATCGACAGCCCATGGAAAAAAACACTGGCACATCCTGTGCGCACATCGGAGTTCTGCCAAGAGGCAGCAGTTCGGCGTCGTCCGCCCCTTTGCCGATGATGTCATGCACCGCTAGGATCAGCGCCTGGTCATACTCTTCGGCGGAAATGCGCCGCAAGTTTCCCATCTCCAGCACTCCATCCGAAGGGGCGGCTATCACGATGTCCGAGACCATCTCACGTTCGCGCTGGATGTCCTTCATCAGCCGTTGCACACCGCTGAAAGTGATGGGAACAGACTTGCTGACGCTCCAGCGGTGGTTGATCCACCAGAAGTTGCCGGCGGCCGTGTACTTGCCGAAACGCATGAAGGTTTTTTCGAACTTGGGCAGCTCGAACTTGTCCTGGGGGCAGACACCGCTTTTTTTTTACTTGTTAAACACACACTAGCCCCTGCACACCCGACTAAGCTGAACCGCCACACCGTGACACAGAGAGACGAGGCCGAGAAACAGCAAAGCAGAAACACACCAGAGGACACAGACTTAAGCCAGCACGTCCCCGATCTCTAGGCGAGTCATTCTCGCATTTCCCTGCAGCTGACATGGGGCACCCTGTTGTAAGGGCAGGGGCCGGGGCCCCTGCCCTTGCAAACGTCGGTCAGATGACCTCCTGTTGCAAGGATGCTTTTTGCCCATGCCCGCCCTGCTGCAAGGGCAGGGGTTGAAGCCCCTGCCCTTGCAGCAGGGCGGGCATGGGCAAAAAGCATCCTTGCAACAGGAGGTCATCTGACCGACGTTTGCAAGGGCAGGGGCCCCGGCCCCTGCCATTACAACAGGGTGTCTCTTGGCGTGTACCTCCGGCAACACCACGACTGCAGGGAATGACGCCTGGCTTACTACAGCCGGTCATGTGACCGACTGGTTGGCCGCACATTCCTTCTTAACCGTCAGTCGGTTACTTCCGGGGCAGGTGCCCCAGACGCCGGCAAAGGTGTGCTGGGCCCACGATGCGGGGCACATGCCCGGCACTGCCGCGATCGATCCGACTGCAACAGCGGGCTGCGTGGGCCAAGCGAGATCCCAGAGCCGCGGATAATTAATATACCGGGAATCAGATGCGATGGAGCCAGGGCGCTTGCCCCACACAACCGATCAGGACGAGAACGCAGCGTACCGCCGGTACGCGCGGCATTGTACTTCAGCATGACCTGGGTCGGCCGTACCGGGCGGTACGCCCGCGCTTGGCCGCCTCTCCTTGATCGGGGCACTTGCCCCAGACGGGCGATCAGGAAAAGAACGCAGCGTACCGCCGGTACGGGCAGGATGATACTGAAAAATGACCTGGATCGGCCGTACCGGGCGCTACGCCGGCGTTGGGCCGCATATCGCCGATCGGGGCACTTGCCCCAGACGCCTGGGCCGATCAGGACAAGAAAGCACAGTACATACCCCCGATAAATTACTTAAGAGACTGCGTGGGCCTACTGAGATCCCACAGCCGCCGTGGGCAATGGATCAGACGGAGCGGGCGTACCGGGTGGTACGCCCGCGTTTGGCCGCCTGTCCCCCAGCGGGGCGCTTGCCCCAGACGGCCGATGAGGAAGAGAACACAGCGTATCGCCGGTACGGGCGGGATTGTCATTCAACCTGACCTGGATCGACCGTACCAAGTGGTACGCCTGCGTTTGGCCGTCTTTCGCCGATCGGGGCGCTTGCCCGGGACGGCCGATCAGCAGCGTACCACCGGTACGGGCGGGATTGTAATTCAACGTGACCTGCAGCGGGCGTACCAGGTGGTACGCCCGCCTGTGGCCTGCTCTCGTCGATTGGGGCGCTTGCCCCAGACGGCCGATGAGGAAGAGAACACAGCGTATCGCCGGTACGGGCGGGATTGTCATTCAACCTGACCTGGATCGACCGTACCAAGTGGTACGCCTGCGTTTGGCCGTCTTTCGCCGATCGGGGCGCCTGCCCCGATCGTCCAATCGCGAACACGAACAGCTGTCCTATGTACCCGACAAAGACAGGGGAAAACGGGACGCAGGTTAAGGACGCAGATGGGGAGACAGAGACAAAGACAGGGGAAAACGGGACGCAGGTTAAGGACCCAGATGGGGAGACAGAGACAAAGACAGGGGAAAACGGGACGCAGGTTAAGGACGATGGGGAGACAGAGACAAAGACAGGGGAAAACGGGACGCAGGTTAAGGACGCAGATGGGGAGACAGAGACAAAGACAGGGGAAAACGGGACGCAGGTTAAAGACGCAGACGGGGACACAGAGAGAGAGAGAGAGAGAGAGAGAGAGAGAGAGAGAAACAGAGAGAGTTGAAGAGAGGCCCTCTCTGTCCTTGGTCCCCGCGAGGTGGTCCGCCGTAGCCAAACTTTCGATGCCAATGGGATCAGCTGTCAGGATATCACTGAAGACGGGGTGTGCAAGGATCTCAGTGATAGCAGTGTCCAGTTTGCTGTCCAAGGCCTCGTTTAAGTTGGCAGGCAAGGGGACAGCGTCGCCTGCATCAGCGGCGTCACGCAACACACCTTTGGATGCCTGCACCTTAGCCTTGGCACCGGCACCCCTCTTCGCCTTAGGTGCCATGTCACAGACAGCGGATTGAAACAACAGCAATCTACGGAGAGAGCGAGCGAGCTCGAGTGCTATACAGCAGCACCATGTTCAGGGGCTAGCATGGACGTGCTGACATGGCCGTGTCGTGTGCAAGATGAGCGGATAAAACATTGGACACAGCGATCCGCATGGCTGGCTGAAATACCAGACCTCAACGCGGTTGACAAATGCTGGCGAGCCTGGCATTGGGGTGTGATGCTTACCTGGCGAGATTTCATCTTAGGGTTCTAGCTAATGCACCTGCAGCCGCTTCCACTCTTCAAAACCCTGCGCAAGCGTGACTTAGCAGTGACTGCACACAGGCAGCAAGACTCAATGAAGTCTCTCTGCATGTGGACTGGAAAGCTGAGGCAGGCCACAGACGGAAGAGCGAGGCGCGTCGATTGCAAGCCTGACGAGCAGAGTTAAAAAAAAAGCCCGGGGAGCTATGATAAGAGAGTATCCTGCCAGAACGACAAGCATCCTAGGGAAGATGCTGAATCACCCGCTGCTGCGACTGTTTCCTGTGCTCTCCCCGCGCAATGTAGCCCCTGCCCTGTGCTAGATTCATGCAGCGGCCCAGCGAGTCATTCCCTGGTGGCCGACACATCTTTCACCTACTAATTGCATCGCACGCCGGGCTGCTCAGAAAAGACGTCTGAAACAAAAGCCGCTCATGCTGCAACTGTCTAGGCTACAATGTTCTGGCTGCCCACGCATCCTTGCGAAGTCATTGCGTGGTAGACTGTCGACAGCTGCTTTAACACATGCAGCAGACACTTTCCTCAAATTTTTAGTCTAGTATTCCCGTAGCTGCCGACAGAACCTCCCCCAGTCACTGCCCTCCGGACCGTCGAGAATGAAGCAAAGATTCACAATCTTGCTCAGACATGTTGCTAGAAAAACAACTTGTTCTACCGACGAATCCTCACCGGGGACATTCCACGCCGGACTGTCGACATCTCGCTTCAGGCACGTTTGTGACATATGGAAGGAACTCTTTGTGGAACAGAACAAGTCCACGGACGCCGACATCCTCAGGTGCACGAGGTGCCACGCATGGCTACAGACATCTTTGAAGCGAACTTCAGAAAGTCTGCCTTCGTAAACATGTTGGCCTCGCCTTGAATTTTGGCTGCTTCGCTCTGCGCGAACAGACCTATGCACTGAAATCTCTTCTTCTGCCTGCGGCAAAGGAGACTCCTGTCAACGAATTCTTCCAAGTCGCTGACTGTGGACCACTTAGATCCAGGCAGCCGCGCGCTGTGCAACAGCAAGCGAGATAAGAAAGGACTTTCGCCACGGAAGCGGTCAGATATGTAGAGTTCTCGTTTGACGGACACAGCTGCAGAAAAGTGGAATGCGACGCCAGACTTGCCACGCTTGCGAGCATACTCAAGGTTGCAGAGGATGCCCCCCTTTAAGGTGACCGCCCAGAGAACGCTCTCGTCGGGGTCGCCAGGGTTGCGAAGCACGAATGCATCTGCGTCCTGCACGTCCTGCGTGCACTTGCTAGCGTCTATGTCTTGCAGCTGCGCCCATGTGGCATCTTCCACATAGAAATGCTGCCTCTGGACGTCCATGACTTTCGGTCGCAGCATCTCCTCCAGCGCCCGCTCTCTTTTGGGCCTGGCTTTGTCCAGCTGCTCCTGGCGTGTCTTCATGGCCATGGCAGCTTGCACTAACTCTTGGTCCACCTCGCTCTCCAACAATGCACCTGTCAGGTAGCTCTGGAGCTTGTGCTTGTATCCCTGGCTTCGTTGCCACGAAAGTTCATCCGAGACCCGTTGATCGGTGTAGGCCCCTACAGCAGCGCATCTGGACACTTCTTGCTCGGCAGTCGGCATGGCTTGCGCATCCACTTCTGCGCGACGCCTCTTGATGAAGGACTGCTCCGAGTTGGGGTCTGCCTTCCGCGGCACGCCCTTGTCCAGCCTATTGTTGCTTGATGCACGCGGCGGGTTAAACAGTCCAATCCAGCGGTTCCGAGCAGCCTGACAGAGGGCACCAATGGAAGACTTGTCTGTCAAGAGCAGTAACATAGCCTCGTCGGCAGCAGTGCTCTCTAGCATGTGTCTGCGCTCGGGGGTCTGGAAACGCGACAGAAGACTGAAGTTCTGTTCCACACCCGAGCTCGTGATGCCACACCATGTGCCGTACTTGACCAGCACGGCTGTCAATGCCTCAGAGGGATGCTTGTCGCGTGTGGCTTTGCGCGTATTGGCCCTGAGGATGACTTTCCGCCATGCATCAAAGCTTGCGCAGCCAGAGCTCGCTGCTTCATGCCTGGCCATGGGCTCCAGGTCTATGAACTGTTGCAGAAGATGTTCTTCAGGAACCTCGCAAAACTTGGCGAGCCGCGCAATGCTGGAGAGACGTCGCTGAGTCCACGCTGTGTGTTCGGACATTGCAGAGTTGCGCTTTTCGCGGACGTTGAACACAGCGAAGGCACGCAACGCCTCAAAGTGCGGGAATTCCGAGTTGACCGTGGCGATCACTAGTGCCAGGCATGTCTTCAGCAGCTCCACGCAGCGCAGCAGCATCGGCGCATCAACCGCGCCCTCTCCACCTATGGTTTTTGCCTGGCCACTGCCGATGAGGAAGCCACGCTGGCCTTTCAGATAATTGAGCATGTAGGCTGTATAGCCCTGCTGAAGGATGCCTCCCTGGTTGATCAAGAAGTGGAGGCGGTCCAACAAGCACGACAGCTCCTCCACAAGATCGACCCTGAACCCTTAGTGACAAGAATACCCCGCATGCTTTAAAACAACGGAAGCCGGACAACAAATGCTGGGCAGCCATGATACCTCGGGGAGCTCACTCAAATCGTACTGTTCACAATCAACGAACCTAATTACACGGATGTTCTCGTCTGCAACATCTGCCAGCATTGCCATCATCACTAGTTTCTCTTCGTCCAGATCCGAGAGCAACTGCCGGAGTCTTGCTCTCTCCGCCCCGTCCCGGTTGGTCTCCATCCAAATCAGGGTGCTCAAGATGGCGTCCCACGTGAGCACAGCACGAGACAGAGGTCGCTGATAGCTAGCGAAGCGGTTTTTCGTTGCGCGCAGGTCCTTCATCCTGCCCGTGTTCACCTCGCAGTTGTCTAAGCCGCGGCAGTAGCCCTGGTAAACGCTGGACAAAGTAGTGGAGTTCTCTATCATCTGAGTGACAGAGTCGGAACCCGTCACCCACTGGTCCAGCACATCTGCTATAGGACCTATGGCAGCCCAGGGGCGTTTCAGAACCCTGGTGAGTGCATGGGTGCTGTCTCGGTGCACAATGCGTGCGTTGGGGCAGAGGTCCACCCGGGTCACTCGACCGGCCACCTGCTCATTGCTGGCGGCATCGGCGCATATGAGCTCCACATGGCTCACTATTCTTTTGAACAGACTCTCCTGGAATTCACCATCATCCCCACAGGTGCAAAGATCCTCCAGTGTCCCTCGAACGGTCTTGACGATGGCAGTGGCTGTTTCCCGCTCCCTGATGTAGCGGTAGCCCAAGAGGCCCTTCCGGGAGTCGAGCTGGGCATCTGTGGCGGAATATCGCACAACACACAAGGACTTACGGGTGTCCATCATCAATGCAATGCTGCACGCTTTCCCCAGGAAGTCCCTCGTAGCATCACGCACGGATTCAGCCAAGCACCATTGCATCTTCTCCAGCTTGTACGTGCCCATACCTTCCAAGGAGTCACGCAGCGGCCGACCGCTCTGCCGGTGCTGCAGTACTTTCTGGAACTTTTCAATGCTGGGTGCCAGGTCCCGCGCAATCTCCTTGCAGTCGTAGCCGCACTCACGCAAGGCCTCCTGATGTTGATCGCATTGTCCGTGCCGCCGCACATTGCCCAGCGAGCAAGTGCGGATTGTTCCGCGCGCCCATTCCGACATCTTTGCCTGCTGCTGGCACACGAAGCAAGAAAGTCCCCAGCGTTCGTCCTCGGCGATGACAGGAAGAAGCCAAGTGCCAAGTTTCTTACCATCCTTGACCAGGCTGGCAGCGTGCTGCCAACTTTCTTGGTTGCGTAGGTAAATGCAGCGGTGGCAGCTCCGAGGGTCCGCGCAGCCTTCCACATGCAGCCTCTCGTCTTCCAGGGTTAGAAGCCCAGGATCCGAAAATGAGCCCGAGCAAGACTGCACCTTTCTCCCCCAACGAGCCGGTGCAGACTGACTGTCTCTGGCACACTTAGGTTTCTCCGGCGGATCTGCGCCCCAGTCAGCATCCCAGTCCATCATCGCCAGGAGACACGAACAAGTAATCAGCGCAAACGTGACTGGAGCACAGCAGCTGCACTGCGCCGCAAGCATGCACAAACAGCTCCTGAAACCATCTCGAACCCCAGAGAAATCGATGCCCACACGTGCTGGGATGGCGGTTGCAGGCTCCATCAAGCTTTAAAGTATGGATTCCGGCAGCATGAAAGGGGTGGCCAACCCTGAAAACTATACAGATCGTTGCAGTGGAAAGCGAGCAGCGCAACCTGGCCTGAACCAAAGGATCCGTCCCATTTGTAGCTGAAAAGCACACCGCTGGGATGAGGGCCCCAGGTTTCTCTGACTGACGACTATCGGTGGACAGCAGTACTTTGACGCAACATCGTTTGGCCAGCGCACTCACGTCCAAAGTGCATGTCTGCTACTCGATCTGCGGCAGTGCCAGAACAAAAACTCCGCGAGCTTGCGAGAGGCCTGACCTAGCCCAAGCCGTTAAAGCCCAAATAGCTGTTTAGGTGAACCTGCAATGTGAAGTCCCCGAACTAGGGCGGACGACCCCTACCGTAAGTAAGGCTGATGTTACTTGGAGTGGACAGTCTATGCTCAGGCACGATCAGGCATTTTCTGTGACTGCCCTGGCGAAACCGTCTCAGCGGAGTCGTCACATTCGTCCTCGGTGAAATCGACTTCACTCTCGCCGCCCTCGGCATGGAAACACACTGAGCCGGATTCCTCACCTGTGTCGCCGTCACAGCTGATGTCTGCAGAATCCCAGCTGTCGTCGTCCGTGATCTCGATCCTCTGAGTCGCAGGGACGTAGCGATCTGGCTGCACCCTGGGCCTCTTCTTCGGCATGCCGGCGCTGGGTGCCGAGCCCGACTCCACCGAAGACCGCATAGGCATGAAAGGAGAAGGACGCTTGAAGGGCATCTTCTTCTTGGGCACCCGCATAACTTCGTCAAGTTTCAATTCTGAACCTCCAGCGATCGCTTGCAAGAGACGCTCAATGACCTCCGCTTTCTTGCCGCGGCAAATGATGCCCATGTACTTACAGCAGTCGCGCAACTTGCGCAAGCTCAAGCCCTCCAGCTCCAAGCGGTTTGGGCCCGCCATGCCGAAGTACAAAGATTGAGTGAGTCGGTGTAACCTTTTTGCAGGGGCTTCGGGAGGTTCTTATAAGGAAGTTGAAGTCAGTGAGTGCAGGCCGCGAGACTCTTGAACACAGAACGGCTAACCCAGCATTGTCAGGGATTCGGACGCGTTCTTGCCCAGGAAGTGTGGTGAGTGTAACCGCTTACTCGTCTAGACAGTCTGACAAGAAGAGAGAGGGAGAGAAAGAAGGAGAGCGAATCAGAGTGTGCGACAGACAGAGTAGAGGCGAGAACCGGCCATGCCCAGAATAGGAGCAGGTCTGGCTCGTCCAAGACAAGAGAGAACAAAGATATGAGAGAGCGGCCAAGAGACGCACGGCTAAGTTGACTTGAAGCAGAAGTCGTCCGAGCGAGGCAGAGGCCCTCGCGAGGCAGAGGCCCTCGCAAGGCAGAAGTCGCCTGCGAGGCAGAAGTCGCCTTTGTGGCCAGAAGGCGGCTTATCGGGTCGAGGGATTTCTGGTTTGGGGTATTCAGAAGGCGGCTTATCGGGGGATTTCTGGTTTGGGGTATTCAGAAGGCGGCTTATCGGGGGATTTCTGGTTTGGGGTATTTGAAGGGCATATAGCGGGCTTTCATGAGGTTTCCGCAAGTCTGGGCTTGGAGTCCCGGCGGGTGTTCCCCGGGTGTTTGGTGGGTGTCTCGGTTTGTGTTATGCCGTGGAGTAGCCTTACTAGGTGTGCGCCAACATGACCGGGCTCGCAGTCGGCCTAACTGGGGCATTGTACCTGAAAGTTCTGATCTGACTTGCAGGCTTGGAAGCGCATCCCCCGTGTTCTGACATAGTGCCATAGGGTGTAAGGGGTTTAGGGTTTGAGGGTTAGGGTTCAGGGTTTGGGGTTGAGGGTTTTGGGTTTTTTTAGGCCGCTGCACGCAAAGACTGCGTATAATCCAAACAGCCCCTGCCAAATTCTAGAACTCTACCAGCAAGAAACTCCAACGCATTGATCGCTTTGGGGCTGGCTGCCAAGGCCCGAGCCTTCGCCGGCACCTTCTTTTATCTTCTAGTGGCGACCTCGATTTCACGCTGTTGTGCAGTCGTGTGAGCTGGCATGCTAGGGGACCATGCGTCTGCGTGCAGTGATTCATCCGTCGTGTGTGAATATGTGTAGACACAACCAAGTTCAGCTGGAAAATAGAAGAATCCGCTCTGGGACAGAGCAAAACAGCACAAGCTCTGGGACAGAGCACGAAGTAGAGCAAAAACCAGCTTCCGGACGGAGCTGAAGAGCACAGCACTGGACCCTCCATGGGCATGAGTTTGGTACGCGCGGGTCTCGCAGCAGCAACAGCACACAGAAATAACAAGAAGTCTGTCCTTGGGCCAAGGCCTAGACAGCAGCGAAGCCTTGCAGGCCACCTCAGTCCGGTCACTCAGTGTGTAGCACACATTTCAAGGCCGCTGGACATGGTGCTGCTAAGAGCTGCTAACATGTAACATCCTAGTTGACTGACTGGCAAGGCTTGTGCACCTCAGTCTGGATCATGGAACTCCAAATGAGTGACATGCTTGAGCCTACAACTCCCATGGAACCCTAGAAATTCAGAAGCTCAACCCTACCCGACACAAACAGACCGATTGCTTTTGCGGTTACTACTGCTGCTACTACACTACTACTACCATCAAGACTAGTAGTACGAGTAGTACCACAACGACGACTAGGAAGCCGATGGACGGACTTACTTCCCAGGCTAGGCCGACAACGTCTGCTCTGACATATAGCTCCTATAGCCATGAGTCATCGCTGGCAGCGGGATGGCCAGTGGCAGGGGGCAGGGGACGACCGCTGGAGCTGGAAAGAGGGGGAGGCCTCCAGCAGTGACGCACGGCGGGGCACGGGGAAGGGGGCTGCCGAGACCCGGCGGCATTGAACCCGTGAGTGACTGCCGTTGCACGCATGATTGACAGCAGTTGGAGCAGCCAACCTTCAGGATCGTGCGAAAAGACCGTCCGGCGTGGTCATCGGCTCCAGCCACGACAATGGCTCTCACCAGAGGCTTGGAGTGTCTTGCAGCTGGGTGGGTGAAGATTTTGCGAGCTGCCCCTGGGCCCTGAATCCTGCTCAGGCGAGAGGCCAAGCGAGATGGTCCGAATATCAAGGACAAGCTGGATAAGAAGGACAAGGAAATTGCGGAGCTGAAGGTGCCGGGGCCGAAACCAACAATTTAGTACTGCACTTTGATTTGGACTCCTGTGTTCCCAGCAGGACCGCTTGCACGAGCTCGGGACAAAGGACGAGGAGATCAAGGACCTCAAGGTGCCGGGGCCGAAACCTACAATTTGGTACTGCACTTTGATCTGGACTCCGGTGTTCCCGGGCAGGACCGCTTGCACAAGGTGACCATGGAGCTCGGGTCCGCAAAAACGCAGGATGCGAAGGACCAGGAGATCACGGACCTGAAGGTGCCGGGTCCGAAACCAACAACTTGGTACTGCACTTTGATTTGGACTCCGGTGTTCCCGGCAGGAGCGCTTGCACAACGTGACGATGGAGCTCGGGTCCGCAAGAACGATGGGGGCGTGTGGGGCGTCGGCGCAGTTCCAGGTGAGCACTCTCTGTGCTCAGTTGGCTGCCCCTGGACTGCATTTAAATTAGAGGTCTTGGTCCATTGAACATCTGGCCACGGCCAAGCTTTCCCTTGACTTTCCATGCCAGGAGGAACAGATGGTGAGCGGGGTGGCCAAGGAGCAGGACGCGCAGAGCCGGAAGGCCTGCCCGGCATGGCGAAGCCTTGTGTCTTCCAGGGCAGTACACTGCGCACACGGCCAGGACCTGGCGGCCGTGAAGGTGGAGCGAGACAAGCTCCAGGAGGCTTTGATGAAGGCCGCACAACGCACCGCGTTTTCATTTCGGTCTAGGGCACTGTGGCGATGCAATCTGCAGGAGGAGGCGGCGCACGTCCTGGCGCAGCAGTCCCTGGTCGATGCGCGGGAGGCGAAGGTCGCAGCGCAGAAGGCCCAGGGAAGCCCCTCGCATTCAAGCTTAAGTTCGGTAGCCTCTTTGGGAGGATATGGCAGCTGCCCAGAAGAACACCACCCAGCTGCGCACCGAGAGGGCAGTGGAGAAGAGGGACCTGGAGGCAGAGATCAATCGCTTGAAAAAGGCACGCGATGATGCTCTGCGAGCGAAGGCAGGGCAAGCGTGCCAGCTTTCAAATTTCCTCGGGATGTACTTGCTTTGTTTGCCAGGACATCGCGGACTCCGAGTGCAAGAGTGCCTGGCAGTCCGCTGACCAAGTCGGCGCGGAGCTCCGAGGAGAGGAAAAGAAGCCAGCCAAGCAAAGTGGTCGTCGAGGAACTCCAGGTCGCGCTCCACGATGTGGCGAAGTCGCCGGTCCCCGGGTACACGCGAAAGCTGCTGAAGCCGGCGGCCAAAGCGCCGCGGCCGCACCATCGCCAAAGGCTCAAACGACACAGCCCCTTTGCTTCGCTGAGGCCGCCCACGAGGTTCCCAAGGAGCCGAACGAGGAAGGCCCCGAGACCGGTTCCCATCAGTCGACAAAACACGTTCAGCACAGTCCGAAAGTAAGCACCAGGCTGCATCCACGTCGTGCCGGTTCAGAGCCTGCTGGAAAGAACCGTCGTCCCAAACAGCACCGTCACCGGAGTCACCGACGAAGAAGAAGTACAACCCCGGGGCGCTCCAAGGTCAAAGACGTAGCCAACCGCCGTGTGATTGGCGATTCCCGCCATATGCCGCAAACCTGTTGCCACCACAGAGCTCGCCGCCACTCCACCGTCAATCCTCCGAGAACCGCCTGCCGTACCAGGAAGGGGGCCCTGGGCCAAAAACGGTTCATCGAGATGTCTACACAATCCCGAAGCCAGCCTCCTCGCCATCTCCGGGTCGTCGATGGTCAAATTGAAATCGCCAAGGACGACCCAAGGGACACCCAGCTTCTCAAGCGCCACGACCGCCTCCTCCAAGAAAGCCGCCGCAGCAGCACGATCACCGAAGTAGCTGTACAAACTCACCACAACCAGCTTCCTGTACTCACCATCGGATAAAAATTCGAAAGCCACAGCCGTAAGCCGGCTCGGGTCGGTCACGTCAAGTCTGACGAGTCGCCCCGGGAAAGCCGCCACCAATGACGTACGATGCACACCATCGGGGCCGGCATCGCCCAAAAATGCATGTAATCCCCTGGACCTCCAAACGTCGATCCAGCTGGGTCCGCTAGCTGCATTGATGTCAGCCTCCTGTAGGCACAGCAAGCAGCAGCCTGAATTGGCAAAAAAGCCGTGGATATTCTCGACTTTCACAACCGCGTTCTTCTCAACGTTCATCGTGTAGAACACCTCCCGGCCGTCGTTGGTGACCGTCATCATGTCTCGATGGCGCCACCCAAAGCGCCAAATGCGCTGTCAAAAACCCGCTGTACCAAAGCCTGGTCCATGCCGTGCTCGATGGTCATCGCCTTCTTCCTGTCATCCTCGAGCCGGCTCCGATTGTAGGTGTGGTCCCAGGTTCCGGCACCACACTTCTTCGCATGGGCGCGACGATCGCGCTTGACACGGCAGCACCACCCACATGCTTTGCAACGCCATGCCATCTTCACACAAAGAACGTGTCGCTTCGGGCCCTTCTTGAAGTAGATGTAAGGCCACTGGAAAGGCTCCCACCGTTCCAAAGCCTCGTCAACTCCACGAGCTCGCCGGGCCACCCCCATATTGATCATTCGCACCCTGGCTCGCATCACGTTGTGAGGTTGGCTTTGCCCTCGATGCTTGCTGCGGTCCATGTACTCCTTGCGCGACAGGTGCCTGTGTCGTTTTCTTCGATGCCCGTCCCGACCAATGGCAAAGGCAGCAGTCGAAAGCTTGCCCCGCATGCCCTTCGGAACACCCCAACAGCACAAAGGGCACTTCCAATCACTGTCCTCGCCAGCAGCCAGCTCACGAAACGCATCCATTTTCATAACCTGCTTGCCCGGGAGGCCTGCTCCATCATGGAAGTTGGTGCAGTGTGCCCACCTCGCCTTGCACATCGCGGCACACGTCGGCTTGAAGGCAACGAAGGGGCATGTCGGGCACGGCCACCGGTACCCACTGCCTGCACGGTAACGGGAAGGTCTAGGAGGGAGTCCCGAGGCATCCGGAGGGTCCTCACAATCACCAACAGTGGCAGGAGTGTCGCCACCATTCGCCGCCCCGCCGCCACCGGTCTGGGACCGCCCAGCAGCAGAAGAAGCAAACTCAGAAAGAGCCAGGCCCCGGCTGCTCACGCCCCGAACCTTCTTGGATCCACGTCCACTGCTCTTGCCACGACCACGGCAGGAGGAGCCCACCGTTGAAGCAAAGTCGGAGAGACCTAAGCCAGAGCCAGCACCACGGCCTCCCGACGGCTTTCCATGTTCAGCCGCCAACCACATGGCCGCCAGGGTCTTTTGGTCCATGGTGACGACCTCGTAGTGGCCCAGCTCCAGCTTGAACACCGCAAAGTGGCCAACCTCGTTGCGAGCCGGGAACTTGACCACGCCCTCCGGGGTCATGACCATCAGGTTGAGGTCCTCGGCGACCCCCGCCGCATAGAGCTCGAGCCATCCAGCCCAGGCGCCAACCCCACCGACGGCACGTCGGTATTCCTTAAAAGGTTTATCCATCCACTCGCCATCTGGACCGAGATGGTCCCAGTGCTGCTCCAGCAGCTCCACATGCCGCTCCATCCACGACACGACGGCTGCCCTCATTTGGCGGTGTCCACGGCGCTTCTTCTGGATCCCGGTAAGGACATCGGCAAGGCAGTGGAAGAGACAGTCACCACCGCCAGGGTTCGAATGAGCAACCTTCTTGAAGTCCGGTTCGCCCTCCTCGGTCACCTGCTCCTCCCGGTTGCCCTGCTCCGGCTGCCGGCGCTTCTGACCCACCTCCACGCCCTCATTGGCATCATCGCCGTCAATGACCATATCCTCGAGCGGGGTCGGCTCCTCAATGCTCGGCTTGCTGGCCTTGCTGAATCTCGATTTTCGCTTTGGCGCTGCCACATGCTTAACCAGCTCCTCGACGTCGATGGCCCCGAACTTTGCGACCGTCTCCTGTGGGAGGGTCCTGGCTTCACCCTGCTTGCGACGGCGAACCAGCCTCGTGGCCTCCAAGACGATCTCCTCGGCCCCTTCGGCGTCGAGCTCCTCCCCCGGCTCCAGCTGGATCGGCACAAAGTCCCGGAAGTCAACCCGCAAAGCTTTGAACTCCCACACCGGCAAGCCACGGCGCAACAACTTCGCCTCGACGACAACGTTGTCAAAGCCAGCCGAGGCCAAAACCGCCTCGATGTCATCCGGGAGCCACTCGTGACGGGCTCCTCGAAGATGCCAGGTGCCCCTCTGAGGCATAATACGAGGGTCGAGCGGATCCAACCTAACAGCCAGCCGGTCGCCCCCACAATGCAGGCCAAAGGTGTCGGCCTCCTTCCGCATCCGTTCAAGGTAAGCCTTGGCCCCCTCGCCATCAAGACGGTCCGCCCACAAAAGGGCAGGAGCTTCCGAAGCATCAACCGCTGCCCAATCCAGGGGGGCGAAGAAGAGACCAGCGCCCAACGCCCAGCACCCCGAACTCCTCAAAGCAATGGTGGCTGCCGGCTTGGTAAGCCGGACCAATCCCCTAACTTGCGAATCGCCGTAGCCTTGCCACCCCCAAGAGTCAACGAACTCCTGGATGTTGAGGGGGGCAACCTTGGCGAACCATGCCCTGGCAAATTGCCCGGGCCTCCGAAGAAGCTGCTTGAACTCAGTCTCGGCAGCGAAGGCCTGCCAAGCGTAACACCGTAGAACCACCGTGTCACGCTGCTGTCTAACTTTCGGAGCGGGGGCTCTGATGAAGTCGACCGCAGGAGCAAGCTTGGCACCATCGGCCCCGAAACAGCAAATCCAAACACAGCGCAATCGAGTCGTGCTGTTGATGACACCTGGCACGTGTTTCTTGATCACCGGCCATTGCTTTTGGAGAGCATCCAAAGCAGCCGAAGCCTCCCCATCCTTGATGAGCACCGTGCCCTTGGGGCACCCACCTCCCATCATAGCCGCTCCCTCATCGAAGTCCTCCTCCCGAAGCTGGGCAACGAACTTCTCCTCAAGACTGAGGGCATCCTCCAGAGCCGAAAGCGAAGTGACAAGCTTGGTGGCCCCAAAGGCCGTTGGCTTGACCTGCCACTCAATCACCTCCCACTCACCACAATTGGCACGGTCGGGGTCCTCGCGGTTCTTGCCTGCGCCCTTGCCCTTGCCTTTGGGCCCCGAAGGCCCTTTGGTGTCCTGGCCAGCCGTCGGCTTGCCCTTGCCACCCTTGCCACCCTTGTGGCCATTCTTGCCATCGCCGCCCTTCTCCGCCTTGCCGGCCGTCTCGCGATCATCTCCACCATGGCTGTCCTTGCCCTTTGCACCCTTGGGAGCACAGGCCTGGCGGTAATCAGCATCCATGTCCTTGTGGCCCTTGGCGGGACCACTGGGAGCCGAAGCCACAGAAGTAGGCTCGCCCTTCGAACCTCCTCCGGGCCCCTGCACTTTGCCGTTCTTGCCCTTCCCCTTAGCTTGGTGGTCCAAGGGCATCACCCCAGACGCCATCGGGCCGCCCGCACCGAAGAAGGAATTCACCATATTCTTCATCATCGTCTCCATCATGCTCTGCATCACCTTGAGCATTTGTTGCTGAAAGCCGGGTCCAATCAAAGCAGTGGGATCAAAGCCTGGAGCCAGGCCTTGCTTGCGCTGCTTGCGCTTGCGCCTTGTCACGTATGACCCCCAAGGCGTAGGCCCTGGGTTTGCTGCCTCACCGACTCGGGTGCCGAGCCAGGGATTGTGATGGCCTGAAGCAGACCAAATCACCAAACGTGCGTCCCCCTGGGAGCGCACAAGGAGCCTGGGAAACTTCGCGCCGAAACCAAAGGTCCGGTCCGCACCCGCCAAGCATTCGATGATGCAGGGGGCGTTTCCATGGGTGCACATGTCCTCCACGTTCACAGCTGGCCCGTCGTACAGGCGCAGGAAGGACGGGGGCAGGTAGAAGTCGTAGATCTTGCCGTACTCCACATCGCCCATGCCTGAACCATGCGCTCGTCACACATGACGCTATCCACAGAAATAGCAATCAGTGACTAAATTAGTACCGCTTTGCTCATCTTATCAGCACGGCGTTCTGAGCCCGCGACCCTGGTTGTTGCCGATGGCCAGGGTCAGGAAGGAGCACATCATGCCACGCCCATCGATGATGTTGCGGTCGAACAGCAGCGTGGGGTAGGCGATCTTCATCTCCTCGCTGTGCTACTCTTGAACCGAACCGCGATCCTCGCAGAATGCACGGCTCGTATGTCGCAGCCGACTCACAGGTCAGGTCATCTCCTCGCTGTCAGGGTCGATGTAGTACACCAGGGCATCCACGGACTTCGTGAAGTCGTCGGTGGTGCACACGTTCACGTTCGTGCCCGTGGAGGACTCGGCGGCGAAGTGGGCGGCGGTGGCCAGGTAGTCGTAGCCCGCCTTCGGCTTCATGATGTACGCAACCAGGACGTGCTTGCCGTTCCTTGCGACAACATATACGAATGCTCAAGAGTAAACACGCATGCGTAAAGTATGCATGTCGTATGGAACTTGCAGCTGAAATTCTTGATCAGGGTGGCTTCATCCAGGGACAGGTCCGCATATCGGCTGGACTGGTCCAATGCCGTGCGTGTCACCCGGCTCTCCTGCAACGGATGGAATGGAGCAGTAGATCGTTGCAAGCGTCACGGCAACAGACAGTGTAGTAGTGAGAAAAAGTCGGAAGCAGCAACAGGAAGGCGACACACGGGCAGATGCGTCGGAGGTTGCTCTGGGGAGGTTCGTGTGCAAGGAATAGCAGGCAGGGGTCCGAATGTGCGAGCTCCCTCGATGAAACCTGAAAGCCGCTCACCACGAAACAGGAAAGTCTGGCCTCAAATCCGGAAGCAGAGCCCTTCCCGCCTTCACTGGCACCACGGTTGTAGGGAGGATGGTGCTGCGCGTTTGGCGTCCTTTCGACGGTGCAACCCTTATATGACCCATCCGGCACCGGTGACAAGGCGCGGAGAGTTGGGCTTCGGGCTTTTCGGCAAGACCTGGATGAGTTTTGCGCGAACAGCAGCAAAGATTAGCACTCGTTAAGGTACCAACGAGAGTGATGGGCATGGTTGAGCTAGGACTAGGACTCCCGCTCTTCTTGGTAGTCTCCAATATGTGCGACCTGAGCCCATCTCCAACTAGTTTCTCACGGTTTTCAAGTTTATATACTATCCGATTGCATGCTCAATCTGCTTCTAATGCTAGCTCGAAATCATGTCCAACTACACTTCCGATGTCTTGCGGCTTGAGCATTTGAAGAACCATCGAAGAATGTCTTCTGTTCCGTAATGTAGTTCTCCAGCTCTATTCTCTGTTTTCTCGATGCGGGCACTTTATAGGAAAGGGGCATGCCGGGGGAAACTGGGCTACCGGGAAATCTCTTTGCTGGCACGCCCATATCTCGAAAAGAAGCGTCGAGTTGGTCAACCTGACATCGGCATGTTCTTCTTCATCACCATCCTCACTGCCATGTTATTGCACTCGTTTGTCTTGAGCATTCAGGTTGCTATGCACGTTCAGGTGTACACTGCTTACATATCATCATCACAGTCAAGACCACAACTCTGCCTCAGAAACAATCACCATCACCATCGCTTCCGTTGGCTGCATGTTGTCATATTGTGTCATCTCAATGACGATCATTGTAATGGGATTGGTAATCGACAACACTATTGTACTGACGGCACAAGAAGGACGACAGACGCAACAAAAAAAAATTGTTAGCTCTGGTACAACACTTGCCTACTTGGAGGGCAGAGCGGGCCTGGGCGGTTGGCAGCCACCGCTGCTGCTGCAACCGCGCCACCAGCGGCGAGAGCCTCTTCAGCTCAGACCATGGAAACCCGAAATCCCGAATCTCCCAACCTGTGTCCG